GTGTTCTGGGTTATCATATCTCTGAGCTTTGAGTGGGCGCTTGTCGCCGGTTTGCTGTGCGACCTGTTTACATGCATGTGAAGTGTGAAAGAAAGTGAGTCTGATTGCATTCGTATCAGAGCTGGTACCCGCTATCCCATGCGCCATCGCCGTTGCCGCAGGTCAGAGACACGTGCCAAGTAGGGCGCCATAGCTGAAGTCCGCCATAGCTGCACTGCAGAGGAGATCGTCGCCGTCTGTACCCGCAAGAAGACAACAACGAGAGAGAGAGATGCAACATTGGTCTACCACGTACCTGCGCTGAAGACATCGCCACGGGGAGAGAGAGAGAGAGAGAGAGAGAGAGAGAGAAGATTGGTTGTCACATACCTGTTGAAGAGCGTTGTGCGGTCCAACGAAGTGAAGTGGCGGCCATAGCCGCCGAGCTCGGACACAAAGTTGACGAAGGGAGGATCTGAAGTGAGAGGAGGGAGGAGAGACCGAGAAGAGTGAGGAAACCATAGCCAAGGAAGGTGAAGGGAGAGACGAACAAAAAAAAAAAAAAAAAAAAGAGAAAGAAAGAAGATAGCCGGGGTGGAAGATAGAGAGGCGAGGAAGGAGAAAGGAAGGAGGAAGAAAAAGAAGGTTGAAGAAGAAGGCGGCAGCCATAGCTGGAAGAAGAGTTGACCGGCGGAGTTGGCTGGAGTTGACTGGGAAGTTGATCGGCGTTGACCAAGGTGCAAACCAGCGTTGACCAAGCGTTGACGAAGGTGTTGACCAAGATTGTTGACCAAGACTGTTGACCACGACTTTGACCAAGTTGGAGCCGGTATAATCTCGCCAAGCCTTCAAGCCTATCCCCTCGCCCTATGGATGTGCACACACCCTGTGGTACTTGCTGAGTCAAGTCAGTCTGTCTCTTCTTTCTGCATCGAGTCTCTTATGTCCAGGTGGTAGGAACATGTGGATGAAGGATAGGGCCTTGTTGACCAAACCCACATGGGCTGAGTAGGGCTAAAGACTGTGTCTGACGACTCGACTGTCCCGGAGGACACAAACCCTCCCAAGGACCGGTACTGACCGGCGGGCTGCTCGGTGTGGCACGGTAGGCCCAAAATCCGAGTTGTGGGCTGCACAACAGACCTCTCTGAGTCTTGAGAGGACTTGCTGATCGCGTCGTCCTGTTTGCGACGTTAAATAATTCCTGAGGAGTTACGGGGGATCTCCTTAAATGCCTCCTGATCAGCAGAAAGTGTTGTAGTGACAACCTTAGAGTAGGTCCAGGCGAGTGACCCTAGTTGACAGGATCTTGTCCGGATTCTTTGGTCCATAGATTGAGTCAGTAGGTTGTGTTAGTCAGGGGGTAGAAGTCTAAGTGGTGAGGAGTGGAACTAATATCCAGTTGTGCACCTGACACCATGGTGGACACCCGTAGTGGGAAGTGTACTACCCCTTTATACCCAGGCTCAAGAGGAGCAATTCGCCGCCATTTTAAGAAAGAGAAAAGAGGAGTTCCTCAAGCAGGCGAAGTTAAAGGTAATTGTAGAGGAGCAGGCGGCGAAGAAAAAGAAGTTGGAGGAGGAGATGCTGAGATTATAGAGGGTGGAGGAAGAGAAAAGGAGAGTTGTCGAAGAAGCAGCGGCAGAGGAGTCAGCATTGGAAGGACTCAGAAGGCGTACAGGAGAGAGGAACATAGCTGTGGCACGAAGGAAGAAGATATGTGGATGGAGAAGAAGATATTCGAATGGGTGGCTAGTTTATCACTGGGAGAAGACAAAGAGGCAATGTTATATGTGCCTTGGGAGGAGAAAGAAGCGGTAGTCAGGGAGATGGAAGCTATGGAGGATCCCTTGGACTGCCAGACGCTAGAGGATGAAAAGAGATTGGAGTCGATATTGCGTCTGGGAAGGGAGAAGAAGAGGAGGAGGGAGGAGGCCAATCGGATGGCCAAGGAAGTGGAAAGGATACAGTCGTGTAAGCAAGAAGTGCAAGCGCAACAGGATATTCCGGCCAAACTAGACAAGATTTTGAGTTATCTAGAGATTTGGGACAGGCCTGGACTGAGCAATACCCAACTAATAAGGGCCAAGAGGTGACCCTTCATTCCATTCGGACCGGGTTTTGAGAGTTTGTGCGCGACGTGGTGACCCACGTCGGGACCGAAATTAAGAGACTGAAGGAAGGCGCATATAAGTTTTGTGCAGGCGCCATTGAAGGTGCCAAGGTAGTGGCCACGGCAGAGGCCGAAGCGCGTCCCCGTAAAGAGCCTGTCAAGCTTAAGTTTCTTGACTCTTATAGTGGGAAAAAGGACGATAACTTCGATAATTGGGAGGCCAGCATCAACACGTATGTGTATTTACAACATATCGCGCCGGAGAAACAAGTCCTCGTGGCCTTCCATGCGCTGAAGGATGAAGCTGCCAGCTTTGCCAGGTCCCTTGCACGCGCAGCTGATTGTGAGCACAATATGGTTGCGTACTCTAACCTCAGCCCTCTTCCTACATTCCTCAAACTCCTGCGGGAGAGGTTCACTGACGTCGCAAGGGGCGCTAGGGCCTCCGATAAGCTGCAAACAATCCACTCCAGGCAGTGGAAGAGAGCAAGAGCACTCAAGGCAGCGATGGATGACCACGTAGCCATCCCAGACCACGGGGTCATTGAGACCTTGTTGGTTAACTTATTTTATCGTGCCATGCCAGAGCCCTTGCGAGGGCATTTCTTTGACAAGACCCAACAGACCAATATTGCGTATGATGCGTTAAGTAGAGAAGGGGTCCTGTTCGAGGCAAAGTCCATGCCAATTTCCACTTTATGGCATAAGGACTTCGACAAGGGAATGAAGTGGAAGGGATGTACCATCTCAGGTCAGGTTAGGGCCAAGGATCACCTGATTCTTACTTTCGATGAGGGTGGTGCAGACGAAGTTCCCTACAGTCAAATTGAGTGGGGGCTAGAGGAGGAGGACAGTGGTGTAAGTCAGGGGAGGACGTATGCTGCTATCGCGGCTGGAGGGAGGCCGCAAGGTAGAGGAGGCCAGGGCCAAGGGGGCCGGGCCATGGGTGGTCGAGGTCCGGGTGCACAGGGGGTTGATGGTCAAAGGAACCGTCACGAGAGAGGTAGGGGTCAAGGTCCCCCGCCGAATCGCTCAGAGCCTAGTCGATCGCCGCAACGCAGAGGTAGAAGGTCGCCTCAGAGGCAAGGAGGTTGGCACCCAGGTTGGCCACAAGGCCTTCCATGCCTTGAAGGATGAAGCAGCCAACTTTGCCAGGCCCCTTGCGCGCGCAGCTGATTATAAACACAATATGGTTGCATACTCTAGGCTCACCCGTCTTTCTTCTTTCCTCAAACTCCTGCGAGAGAGGTTCGCTGACGTCACAAGGGGCGTCTGGGCCTCCGACAAGCTTCAGACCATCCACTCACGACAGTGGAGGAGTGCGCGAGCACTCAAAGTTATCATGGACGACCTGGTAGCCGTCCCAGACCACGGGGTCACCGAGGCCCAGTTGGTCCAACTGTTTTATCGTGCCATGCCAGAGCCCTTGCGTGGGCATTTCTTTGATAAGACCCGACAGGCCAATATTACGTATGATGTGTTAAGTAGGGAAGTGGTCCTGTTTGAGGCAAAGTCCAAGCCAGCTTCCACTTTTTGGCATAAGGACTTACACAAAGGGAAGTGGAAGGGTCGTACCATCTTGGGTCAGGTCAGGGCCAAGGATCTTTTTATTCTTGGTACTGACGAAGTCCCCTACTGTCAGATTGAGTGGGGGCTAGAGGAGGAGGACAGCAGTATAGGCCAGGGGAGGACCTATGTTGCTGTTGCGGCCAGAGGGAGGCCGCAAGGTAGAGGGGGAGGCCAGGGCCAAAGGGGCCAGGCCACGGGTGGTCGAGGTCCGGGTGCACAAGGGGTTGGCGGTTAAAGGAACCGTCAAGCGGGATGTAGGGGTCAAGGTCCCCCGCCGAATCGCTCAGGACCTAGTCGATCGCCGCAGCGCAGAGGTGGAAGGTAACCTCAAAGGCAAGGAGGTTGGCACCCAGGTTGGCCACAAGGCCGACCTTGGGAAGACTTGGGCTTGGACCAGCGTGTGTGGCAACAACGTATGGAGCAGGGGCAGTGCATCTACTACGGTGACCCTGCCCATATTATCAATATTGTCCAAAGTATAGGGAAGCCCGATTCGCTGCCCAGGGGTCAAAAGGCAGCCGCCAGTAGGGGTTGCAACTGCCGCTACCACTAGGCCATGTGGGGAAGTGTGCGCGCACCACCAGGAAACTTCCACACCACGTGAGCCTATGGCAGAGGTTGTAGGCCAGTGCCTAGTTAGTTGTCCAGAGACTGCCTGTGTTAGCGTCTCTCTAGGCACTTCCCTCACAGGCGTGGCAGAAGAATTGAAAGAAAGGATGCCAGCCTGGGCCAAGATGAAGAAGGAAAGTAAAGGACAGCTAGTGTTAGTAGATGTAGAAGTTTTTAGAAGCAGAGTAGGAACCCTTCGTCAGTGAGGGAAGTACGCACAGTTATATTAGCCGTAGGGCGTTGAAGAAGCTAAGGCTAGGGTTAAAAGTCCAAAAGTTAACAGACCCCATCGTCAGTGTCCTCGCAGACAACCGCACAATGCGTGTTGAGGACTACGTAGAGGGAGTCCAGGCGTATTTTCGCCTAGAGAAAGATGGGAAGGTGGAGAAGGTCCTCCATTCTCTGACTCTCCGCGTACAGGATGACCTCCCTTTTAACAGAGTCCTAGGTATGGAATGGGGAGAGGCAGCAGAGGCTCCACTACATTTGAGAGAGCATGTGTAGGCTCCCTAGTCCGTCAGGTAAGGTTAAGACTGCCCGCCTGTTTCATGTGTCTGGAGTAGACAACTCCTTGGCACATTGTTGTCTCAGTGCTCCCGCATGTGCGCGATTAGTGAGAAAGGAGCAATTAGAGGAGCAGGTCCTCGTAGCCGACCAGAGTAGTACCACGGCCGCCGACCAGAGTAGTACCACGGCCGATCCAGAGTGTCACTGAGCCAGAGAAGACACACCCATGGATCCAACCATCGCCAAACTGCTGGAAGAGTTTAAAGACTTAGCAGAGCCGCCGACCAGAGTAGTACCACGGCCGATCCAGCACTGGATAGAGATAGAGCCTGGCAGTAGGACCCCTAAGGGAGCAGTCTGCAGGATGTCCCCAAGGGAGTTAGAGGAGTTGCGTAAGCAGTTAGACGAGCTCCTAGAAAAGGGGTGGATTAGGCCCAGTTCGTCTCCTTTTGGAGCACCAGTATTATTTGTCCCCTAAAAGGAGGGAGAGTTACGCATGTGTATAGATCATAGGGGTCTAAATGCGATCACAGTAAAGAACGGTGAACCGCTGCCCAGGATAGACGATCTTCTGGATCGGGTGTAGGGTTGCAGATATTTTTCAAAGATAGATTTAAAGTCCGGAAATCATGAGATAGAGGTCCATCTTGATGACCAGTACAAGACTGCCTTCCGGATTAGATATGGGCATTATAAGTTCATAGTGATCCCCTTTGGACTGACCAATGCGCCAGCTACATTTTTGCGGTGTATGAATGATTTGTTTAGGCCTTGGTTAGATATATTTGTCGTAGTTTATTTAGACGACATCCTAGTTTTCAATAGGACCCTCCAAGAGCATCAAGGTCATTTGAGGCAGGTCTTGGAGAAGCTGAGAGAGGCTAACTTCAAGATCAATGCGAAGAAGTGCGAGTGGGCCAAGACACAAGCCTTGTCCTTGGGCCACATTTTAGACGGAGATGGCATTAAGCCAGAGGACAACAAAATAGCGGCGATTAGAGATTGGTCGACACCACGCACACTGACAGAGTTGCGGTCGTTCCTAGGTCTGGCTAACTACTATAGGAAGTTTGTGAGGAACTTTTCGACTATCGCCGCTCCCCTTCACCGATTACTAAAGAAAGAAGCAATCTGGCAGTGGGACAAAGACTGTATGTCCGCGCTCAAGAAGTTAAAGCGCGTGTTGATAAAGTTCCCTGTCCTCGAAAGTAGCAGATCCGTCTTTGCCATTTGTCGTCACCACAGACGCGAGTCAGTATGGTATAGGCGTCGTGTTACAGCAAGACGACGACAATGGCTATAGACCCATAGAGTTCATGTTAGCGAGGATGCCCTCAGAGAAGGTAGCTACCTCGATTTACGAGAGAGAACTCTACGCTCTCAGGCGGGCCTTAGAACACTGGAAGCGTTACCTGCTTGGGAGGCACTTTAAAGTGTATTCAGACCACGAGACTCTTAGGTGGTTGAAGACACAGGCCAAAATGACACCTAAGTTGACGAGGTGGGCCGCTCAGATAGACCAGTATGACTTTGAGCTCGAACCGGCCGAGGGCAAGTGCAATGTGGTTGCGGATGCTCTAAGTAGGAGATCAGACTACTTTGGAGCTTTAGTCCACAATCTGGATGTAGGGACAGACCTGCAAGTGAAAGTAAGATAGGCGTATGCGTAGGACCCTATCTATAGCGACCTCCTTAAGAGTTAAGGAGGCCCCAGAGACAAAACCACACTATTGCACGACAGAAGGATTGTTGTTTGAGAAGATCGGCGTAGTAGACCGTCTGTGTGTTCCCAATAGTGAGGAGATCCGCAGTTTGATCTTAGGGGAATGCCACGATACAGAGGGACATTTCGGTTGGCAAAAGACTCTCGCCAACCTGATGCATGCGTACACATGGCCGGGATGAAAGCTGACTGCATAGAGTGTGTTCACAGTTGCAAAGTTTGCAAGAGAAAAAAGACAATTACGCGTGCCCCTCTAGGTCTTCTTCGACCCTTGCCCATTTTTGACCAACCTGGAGATTCAGTCTTTGTTGACTTCATGGACGCTAGTGTCAAGAGTAGGCACGGCAAGAGCCAAGTCATGGTCATAGTCGATAGGTTTAGCAAATATGCAATTTTTATTCCCTTGCCTGCAGAGGCACGCACTGAGTTAGTCATTCAGAAGTTTTTTTTACCATTGGGTCAGTGATCACGGGATTCCGCTTTCTATAGTTAGCGATAGAGACACCCGGTTTACTAGTCAGAACTGGCAGGAACTCGTGAAAGTCTATGGGTCAAAGTTGCTAATGTCGTCTGGCCGGCATCTTGAGACTAACGGTCAGACCGAACAGATGAATAAGATCCTGCAACAAGTTCTGCGTATGTACATTAGACCCGATCAAGTCAATTGGGATGAGATGTTGCCCAAGGTATCCAGTGCCTATAATAACAGCGTGCACTTAGCCCCGTGTCGCACTCCCAAATGAGCTGCACAAGTCCTTAAGACCGCGCCGACCGTTTGAAGGACTTACCCGGGACCAGATTCAGAGACTACCACCCGGTACTAGAGAGTTTGCGATACAGCAGGAGAAGGAGTTAGCTACCTTTATAGAGAACCTTAGGAAGGCGACACAGTTTCAAGTGGGCGATCTGGTCTGGGTCAAGTCCAAAGAGTGTGCTCCTGAGGAAAACACCTCACAAAAGTTACTGCCCCCGTATAGAGGACCGCGGCCAGTTCTAGAAGTTGAGGGCGAAGAGGATGGGCCGTCCTACATAGTAGAGATCCCAACACACCTCCGCACCTACCCCGTGTTTCATGCGTCAAAGTTTGTTGCCATGTGTCACAAGTCAACAGTTTCCATCTAGAAGATCCATGACCCCCCGAGACATGGACAGAAGGTACGACATTGACGACATTGTAGGTGAAGATGTGTTTAGAACAGGAGGTAGAGGTCGTCCACAGAAACAATACAAGGTCCGGTTTGCTTATCAGGAACTAGAGGACGGCCGCTGGTTTAGTAGAACGGAACTTCTAGAAACAGCTCCCAACATAGTTAGAGCCTACGAGAGCGATAAGAAAGGTAAAGGTCCTGCCTTGGACTCTCGGAGGACCTCGAATTTAGGCCGGCGGGAGTGAAACAGTATTCACCTGCTAGCAGTAGTGAATGCAGGTCCCAGGGCTCGATCCCTAGAC